GCTCGCTTGTTTGCATGGAGTAAACTGCGTGAGCCCTTGTTGTGGGGGAGGGGACTCCCCTGCTTGGTGGTGGATTTTGTACCTTTTGGTTGTAATTTCAGGGTCGCAGCTCGCCTCAGGAAGGTTGAAGTGCACTCTTCAATCTTCTCTCTTGTCTCTGCTCCAAACCATCAGCTACTTTGCTAAGGTTCTGTCCTTTCAGCCTCCTTCTGGACGGGAGCTTCTGTAAAAAGCTGGCTGCAGTTCGCCATCTTGGCTCCGCCCCCCTATATAGCAAAGTTTTTAAGATACTATACAAAGACTGACAATGTTTTAGCAGTTTAGTTCTGCTAGAAATAATATATGCATTATTTGCCACCTTTGGTGGTCTCTAGGAACGTCAGATCCCAGGCTCTGTAGACTATTTCATCCAAGTCTGGTAGTGGCTGGAGGAGTTAGAAACCTTAGACACACAGTCCACCTGGCTGTCTGGTGGCAGTCAGGGAAACTGGGATTTCTAGGGCAACTGACAAGGTGAATGGGAGGTGGGCATCAGGGAAGAACTCTGAGGCACATAAGACTTATGTCCAGTACAAGAACTGCACTTTATATGCCAACCTGATTCTCATTTGTGTTTATCTGCCTTTTATTTAAGATTTATCATATTGGCCTGGTGTGGTGGCTCACGCCTGTAATCCTAGCACTCTGGTAAGCTGAGGCAGGTGGATTACTTCAGCTCAGAGTTCAACACCAGGCTGAGCAAAAATCAAGACCCTGTCTCTACTAAAAATAGAAAAACTGAGGTAAGAGGATTGCTTGAGCCCAAGAATTAGAGGTTACTGTGAGCTATGATGACATGGCACTCTACACAGAGTGACAGCTTGAGGCGCTGTCTCAAAAAAAAAAAAAGATTTATCATAATGTCTTATTCTATTTTTTATTTCCTCTGACTTCTACATTGTGTTATTTAATATATACTATATTTGACTTACAGGTTGCTTAGATATGGGCATAGTTTGCATCTAACTTTTTACTAAATTCTTACCCCAACTACATTCCAAGTGTCTTAAAGATTCTGACTCTACAAAATATCGAACACATGGTACCAACCTGAGTACTAGCAATTAGTAAATATTTAATGAATGCTTTGGGAACTGATTTATAGAGGGCCTTAAGAACTAGTTTATTTAACTCTAGGTCAGGTTTCTAAGAATAAATTTACAGAACGCCAGAATGAAAAGTTTGTATAAATACAATTTGCCAAAAGTGAACTCTGTACAATACCAATTTGATGAATTGTTGAGACCTATTAAAGACATATGAGCTCCACTCATGCCTCAGCCTCCTCTGATGCAAGCCCAAAGAGCAGGGGCAGAGGATAAGCATATGGAGTAGAGACGAACTGCAAATTATATTTAAAGAAAAACTTCACCTATTTGTACATCAAATGGTCAATGAAAAACTAAAGCTTTAAAAAAATCTATTTAATAACTGGTTTCCAACTACCAATTAAACAAAACTGATTTTATTTCATAATAACACCTCTAGAGATAGGCAGGGGCTGAAGTTAAACCAGCAGCTCAACAATGTGAGGACTGGCATTTCTGGTTCTCTTGGCCCTTCCTTCCTTGCTTGTAGTTGAGTGGACTACTCCAGGGCCAGGAAAGGTTGCTCTCACCTGTAATCCTAACATTCTGGGAGACGGAGTGCAGTGGATTGCCTGAGCTGGAGAGTTAGAGACCAGCCAGAGCAAGAGCGAGACTCTATCTCTACTAAAAAGAGAAAAACTGGCTCAGAGCCTGTGGCACAAGTGGCTAAGGTGCCAGCCACATACACCCAAGGTGGCGGGTTCGAATCCAGCCCAGGCCCTCCAAACAACAATGACGGCTGCAACCAAAAAATAGCCAGGTGTTATGGAGAGCGCCTGTGGTCCCAGCTACTCGGGAGGTTGAGGCAGGAGACTCACTTGAGCCCAGGAGTTGGACGTTGCTGTGAGCTGTGATGCCACAGTACTCTACCCAGGGGGACAGTTGGAGGCTCCTGTCTAAAAAAAATAGAAAAACTAGGTGGGTATTGTGGCAGGCACCTGTAGTCCCTGCTACTAGGGAGGCAGTCAAGACGAACTCTTGAGCCCAAGAATTTGAAGTTGCTGTGATCTACAGTAACACCATGGAACTCTACCCAGGGCAGCATAGTGAGAATCTGTCTAAAAGAGAGTGAAAGGACCACTCCAGCTCTAGCCATCATTTCAATGTTTATGGCAGAAAAAGGGGGAAGAAATGACCTAACTGCACCTGTAGTAGAAATAGATATGGGAAAAAGGGGTTGAGAATGGCTGGCAAGTTGCACTGCCAATATTACCTTTACAGATAATTGATTTCTCATGTGAAGATTAACATTTGAAACTCAATTCTAGTTTTAGTCATGACATATTTTTAACAGATGCATTCCAGCTATACTAGTTCCCTCCCCTCAGCAATCTACAATTGAGCTAAAATAAAATTACTTAATATTTCAAGAAAAAAATGGGAGAAAAAAAAGCCAACAGTGACAAAGTACTTTCAACTCCTCTTCTGCTCATTGTCCTTCCACACCAAAGAACATCTGGAAAACGTCCCCACATCCTTTGGCATTTAAGAACTGATAGAGCTGGCCAAAGTCCATGTGGTTTCCTCTGGCTCCACTAACACTGAACACTTTTTCTTCAAAAATAGAAAATTTCCTTTGCTTTTCCATTTCATCATTTGTACCATCAAAAGGAATGTCTTCTCGATGGCGAATTAAAATTCTCTTCCAGTTTAATTTTCTGAGTCTGAAAAGAAATTTTCACAGCAAAAATTACCAAAATGTGTTTATATATTCCAGAGCACTGAAAGAAGTTATAAAACAGATTTGTCAATGCCTCTTCCTTGAAGTAATGAAATCTACTTTTATCTTACAGGTGTTTAATATCTCAATAAAATGTGATTCTGGGCATCCCCAAATCATTTGTTACCATTATTGATTCATATCAGTATTTTAGAATGTGGAAAATTGGTGAATTCAAAACTACTAAAGGACCTCAGAAACTCATATAGGGTATCAGTAGACAAATGAGAATGCTAGCAGCAATTCTAGTGCTTCTGGAAAGCCCCTTGTTTCACAGGGTGTACAGCTTATGGTATCACTAAGATGAGGGAAGAATCAGATCCATGGAAACAGATCATAGTGACCTGAGCAAGGACTCAATTTGTTGAACAGATATTTACAGAATGTCTCCTATGTGTACTGTGTCAGATGAGGGGAGAATGCTGCCTATACGTGAGTTTGCCTTATCTACTGATTTGAGACTGAATCCCCGTGAAGATATAACTCCTGGAACATGCTTACCACACCATGCTATCCTAAAACCAGGATAGATGCTAAACCAACTATCCACATCTCCAGGATCGTTATGCACTGCTTACCAGTGCATTCAGAGAAATGCGTCTTTGGGCTATTTTGTCATTATGTGAACATCAGAGAGCCTACTTACACAAATCTAGATAGTATGTATCTTTTTATTTATGTGTATTTTTTTCACATGGAAAATCAAATGCCCCAGCACCATTACTGAGTATCAGTCACTTGCCCTACTTGATCTGCCATGCCAGTATCAAGAGGTATACATCAGGTTCCTATATATGCTCTATTATAAGCTTCTGAGACCACCATATATATGGTCCATTGCTGAATGAAACATCATTGTGCAGCATATAACTGTACCTTGTTTAATACTGAAATTATTGACATGACATATAAAACATGTAAAAGCAAACCTTGACCAGAATTCTTCACAGGCACTTTGTGGGCCTTCCACACAAACAACACCAGGCTTCCCAGGCATGCTAAACCCAGACAGGGAAAGCTCCTTTGCCCACTCTAGAATATTTTTCCTTTTGCATTTGTTGTAGATATGATGGCTGTAGATCCAGAGTCTTGTGAGGATGAGATCGACTGCCTGGACTGTGCTTACTGAGATGGAGGAAGATGAGATATCTTTGCTGACGTAGCCAGAGGCATGTTCTCTAACCCACTCTGTGGCATTCAGTATGCACACATCTCCAAGACAATTCTTTTGCAGGTATGTGCTCAGATCTGTGTTCAACTGAGTCTGCTGGGATCTACTTAATAATACTGATCTGATGGAAAAGATATGAGGAAAAATTAAATCAACTTGCTTGGAAGAGAAAAAATTTAGAATTACTTTTAGATTAATTTTGACCTCTAAAGTTGGAAAGAGTTTCTGTAACATACCTGACAGTAATTTCAGGCAGAACTGCAGGGTATTTAAAGGGAAGAATACAGGCCAGAGAAAACATCACCTGATTAAAAAAAAGAAGGTAATCACTCTAAGTGCTGTTTTCAACCTTGACATGTTTCCATTTTTCCAAAAACAAAATTGAGTTACCATTGCTCCCTCAGATAGGTCCAGGTTCATATTGATAGTAAAGTAAACTTTTGAAGATCGTCCCTCCATTGTCCTCTTTTCAATACAAGCTTTCAGTTCTGCTAAAGCCAGCTGGTCGTTCACTATGAGCTCATTCTCACCAGGAAACATACTGGCTAGCAGATCTAACTCAGACAGCTGGGCCTCCGCCTGCTCTATCTCAATCATTTTTGGACACCTGTAAGTTTCTAAGGAAGTAAAGAAAGGTAATTTACATATACTCAACAGATCAACACAGTTATTCAACAAAAATTTGATTTCTTCATAAATTGTAAAAACTAATCAGTCTCTTCCCATTATTCTACTTTCAGATTTAATATGCTAAAAATAAAAATAAAGGACAATCCATTGAAAACCACAAAACTCTAATAACTAGGCATTAAATTCCTTTGCAACCAGACAGTTGATCTGACATCTTTAGCTACCACCGGAGCAATTTCACTGAAGTAAACCAACTATATAGTCAAAAAACTCTATTAATAATATAGCCAGAAGACAGGATCTGATCTTGGAAACCTAGAATGAACAGAATAAATAAGAATGTATAGTGATGTGAATGGTTAATTTCTTTTTCTTAAATGAATACTGATGTCATTAGTTTTTAAGAAGAAAGAAAAATAACGGTGAATTATTCCACAGCTCAAGTAACCTGATGACATTAAAAAAATAAAACCTATGAGGTTAGAAAAATTCGAATGGTAGAGGAAGGTTAAAAAAGGAAGACAGTCTCCTGCTGCAGGTCTCTACCCACTTAATATTCTCTGGTGTCTTATCAGAACAAATTTTAAGCATCATATACACATGTGTAAAATACATGTTTTGTATGTGTAAATACATGGAGTGAGATATACACAGCATACAAATTGAAAATCCAAAGGGGTTCATATATATATATATATATATATCTCCCTATTTCCTATCTTCCTCCCTACCAAACCTATTTGGAGATCTGTTCACTGTCAGCACATACTGATCTCACTCTCATAGCTGCCTGTACTAGTGATCATGTAGCTAGGCTGTAATTTGCCATAGTATACCAACTGCTGAGCACTTGTTATTTCCATATTTTTGCTAATATGAACAATTCTATAATGGAAATTATTTTTATATATACACTATGGTGAGCTATATTATATATTCAGAAATAAACTTGTAGATGTGGATTGTTGAACAGGTAAAACATTTTAAATTTTAATAAATACTAAATTGCCTTCCAGAAAGTTGCCATATAGATGTTTAAAATTTGTACTTAATCCCCCGTTCCTTTTTAAAAAAATTCTTAATACATTTTTAGAAAAGATTTTACCACTCTCTTCTTTTATGGGTTTTATGCCCCGATTACAAGACTTCTCTACTGCAAGATTATTTTTAAATTCTTCCATTTTTAACCTGGAGTATTTATATTTTCAATTTCTACATTTAAATGTATTCAATCCATCTGTAATTTACTTTGGTTTAAACAGTAAGAGAAATCTCCAGCTTAATTTTCTTTCCATTTGGCTAGTGATCTGTACCAATATATCTTATAATACATGTGAAATGCCTTTTTCAATATATACTAGCTATTGACCATAAGTATTTTGCTACACTGATCTGTTCGCTGTATGATGGCCCAATACTCTACTCATCAAATGAATATGATGGGGGTTAGTAAATCACTTCTTCTCCATCTCTTCACAGCTGTCACTCTTCTAGAATTTTTAAGTTTCCTGGATCTTCTCAGATGTTTTTGCCATATAAACTTTAGAAAAAATCTATCAAACTTGGAAAACAAAAAAAAAAACTGGTAATAGCACTGAAATTAAAGAGTAATGTATGGAAAATGATGTTTATAACACAGAATTTTCCTTCCCTGTTTTTTTTTTTATACAGCCTTAATGAGTTATAATTATATAGTGTACTATACTATGGCTAAACAAGAGCTTTAAAATGTTAGCATCCCTTAGGATTTGGTCTGACCCTCTTCACCTTCTCTACCATCTCATGGTGCCAAATATCATCAAATATTAAATGTCCACAATTCTCAAATTTGTATCTAATGCCCCAAATTCCTCAGCCCATTATTTGTAAAGTTAGCTGCATCTCTGTACTTCTATTGGAGTATGCCTGTGTCTGTTTTCTGTTACTATGTGTATAACAGAGAATCCGAGACTGCATAGTTTACAATACATCAAAATTTATTTGGTTCATGGTGCTGATGGCTGGGGAGTCCAAAGGCATGGTTCTGGCATCTTGCAGGGGCCTTTTTACTGAGCCATCCCATGGTGGAAGGTGGAAGACAAAAAAGGGTGAGAATGAGAGGAAGAGGGATGAAGGGGGCCAAATTCATTATCAGGAACCCACTCCAATAACTTTGAAAGTTTCTACCTCTTAACACTATTGCACTGAGGATTAGGTTTCCAACATATGAATATTTGGAGACACATTCAAACCATAACAGATGGTTAAGTCTCAGTCTTCACAGTTCTAGAACAGGTCTAAATTGTGATATTTCTTTCACAATACAGGTAATTATTTCTGTTTAGAGAACTTGTTTTAACCAATCTTTTGGAGTAGGTCTGCTGGTTACAAATCTGTTGTACTTCCTTCATCTTAAAATGCCTGGAGGGTATTTTCACTACATACTGTATTCTGGCTTGACTGTTTACTTTTACCACTTGAAAAATGTTATCTCGGCTGGGTGCCTGTGGCTCAAGTGGCTAAGGTGCTAGCCACATACACCTAAGGTGGCGAGTTCGAATTCCAGCCCAGGCCTGCCAAACAACAATAATGGCTGCAATCAAAAAATAGCTGGGTGTTGTGGCAGGCGCCTGTGGTCCCAACTACTTGGGAGGATGAGGCAGGAGACCCGCTTGAGCCCAGGAGTTGGAGGTTGCTGTGAGCTGTGATGCCACAGCACTCTACCCAGGGGGACAGCTTGGGGCTCTGTCACCAAAAAAAAAAGAAAGAAAAATGTTATCTCCCTTCCATCTGGCCTCAGTGGTTTCTGATGAGAAATCTTCTCTCCTTTGAACTATATTTTTTCTTCCGTTTTTTTGTTTTTATTTTTACGAGACAGAGTCATAGCTTACTGTAGCTGGGATTACAGGCATATGCCACTGTGCCTGGCTAATTTTTAAATTTTTTGTACGGATAGGGTTTTGCTGTGTTGCCCAGGCTGATCTTGAACTCCTGACCTTAAATGACCCTCTCACATTGGCCTCCTAAAGTGTGAGCCACCATGCTGGCCTGAACTGCTTTTTTTTATGTGTAAGGTTCATTTTTTTCTCACCGCTTTCAGGATTTTATCTTTAGCTTTCAACAGTTTGATTATGATATGCACTGATGATTTTTGCAGTTTTGTGCTGCTTGTAGCTCACAAGGCTTCCTGAATCTGTATGTTCATGTCTTTTGACAAACTTGGGAGGTCTTCAGCCACTATTTCCATGAGTGGTTTTTCTTTTTCTTTTCTTTTTTGAGACAGAGCCTCAAGCTGTCCCCCTGGGTAGAGTGCTATGGCTTCACTGCTCACAGCAACCTCCAACTCCTGGGCTCAAGCGAGTCTCCTGCCTCTGCCTCCCAAGTAGCTGGGACCACAGGCGCCCGCCACAATGCCCGGCTATTTTTGGGTTGCAACCATTATTGTTGTTTGGTGGGTCCGGGCTGGATTTGAACCTGCCACCTTAGGTGTACGTGGCTGGCGCCTTAGCCGCTTGAGCCACAGGCACCAAGCCCCATGAGTGGTTTTTCAACCATGCCCTCTTTCTTCTCTCCTTCTAAGACTCCAATGACATGAATGTTAAGATATTTTGTTATAGTCCTGCGTATCCCCAAAACTCTAGTTGTTTATTGTGGGGCTTTGTTAAGCAGATTCAGTAATTCATATTGTTGTATCTTCCAGTTTACTGATTCTTTCCTCTGTCTCTTTCCTTCTGTTGTTGAGTCTGTCCACTAAGTTTTTATTTTAATTATTTAAAGATAATAAATATTATTTATTTTTATTATTATTTTTTTGGAGACAGAGTCTTACATGTTGCTCTCAGTAGAATGCTGTGGTGTCCAGCTCACAGCAACCTCAAATTCTTGGGCTTAAGTGATTCTCTTGCCTCAGCCTCCTATATAGTTGAGACTACAGGTGCCCGCCACAACACCTGGCTATTTTTTGTTGCAACTGTCATTGTTTAGCTGGCCCAGGCCAGGTTCGAACCTGACATCCTTGATGTATGTGGCTGTCATGGTACCACCATGCTATGGGCGCAAAGCCCCGCTACGTTTTTCATTTTAGATACTGTACTTTACATTTCTTTTCCTTTTTTTCTTTCTTTTCTTTTCTTTTTTTTTTGCAGTTTTGGCTAGGGCTGGGTTTAAACCCACCACCTCTGGTATATTGGGCTGGCAACCTACTCTTTGAGCCACAGGCACCACCCTTTTCTTTCTTTTTTTTTTTGAGTCAGAGTCTTACTCTGTCAACCTGGGTAGAGTACTATGGCATCATAGCTCACAGCAACCTCAGTCTCTTCAAGTGATCCTCTTGTCTCAGCCTCCCAAATAGCTGAGACTACAGGTGCCTGCCACCACGCCCAGCTAGTTTTTCTTTTTCTTTTTTTTTTTTTTTTTAAGACAGAGTCTTACTATGTCGCCCTTGGTAGAGTGTCATGGCATCACAGCTTACAGCAACCTCAAACTCTTGGGCTTAAGCGATTCTCTTGCCTCATCCTCCCAAGTAGCTGAGATTAAAGGTGCCCACCACAATGCCCATCTATTTTGTTCTTGTTGTTGTAGCTGTCATTGTTGTTTAGCAGGCCTGGGTAGGGTTTGAACCCACCAGCCCCGGTGTATGTGGCCGGTGCCCTAACCACTCAGCTATGGGTACAAAGCAGGTTTTTAATTATTTTGGTAAAGACTGGGTCTCATTCTCACTCAGGTTGGTCCTGAACTGCTGAGCTCAAGCTATCCTCCCACCTTGGCTTCCCAGAGTGCTAAGATAACAGGGTTGAGCCACCACATGCAGCCTGTATTTCTCATTTCTAATATTTCCCTTTAGTTCTCTATATAACATCTTCCATTTATTTGCTGAGAATTTCTACTTTTTCATTTGTTTCAAGTGTGTTTGTAATTGCACAGTGCAATTTTTAAGATGGGTGTTTTAAGTTCTTTATCAGGTAATTATACTATCTCTGTCATCCTGGTGTTGGGCTCTATTGATTATCATTGTTTTTTTTCATTTACTTTGAGATCTTCCTGGTTCTTGGTATGATGAATGATTTCTGATTAAAACCTGACATTCTGTGTATTATGAAACTCTAGATATTATTAGATTTTCTAATTTAGCATCCTTTTTCTGATACTCCTATAGCAAGAAAAAGGGTGCTGCTTTGGCTCGGTGCCTATGGCTCAGCGACTAGGGCATCAGCCACATACAGCAGAGCTGGTTCGAACTCAGCCCGCACCTGCCAAACAACAATCAAACCTACAAAAAAATAACCGAGCACTGTGGCAGGTGCCTGGAGACCCAGCTACTTGGGAGCCTGAGGCAAGAGAATCACTTAAACCCAAGAGTTTGAAGTTGCTGTGAGCTGTGACGCCACAGCACTGTACCAAGGGTGACATAGTGAGACTTTGTCTCAAAAAAACAAACAAAAAAAAAGGGTGCTGCCTGTGGGGTCGAAGGCTTGGTCTCCTGCTTAGTATCTACTGACAATTGAAATGTGGGAGAGGGAACTCTTCATTATTGCTGGGTGGAGATGGAAGTTGTGACTCTACCAGAGGACTCTAATGATAAGCCCTGACTAAGAGGGACAGTTATGCCTTGTTATTCTTCCCCCAGTGGTGTCCCCTGACAGCGTGGTAGGGGGTAGCCTTATTTTTTTTTTTTTTTT